TATATGTCCAGACAAATGTTCTATGGCGAAGCGACTAACTGGCCGCTGCAGGTTTTCTTCGCGTCTACTTTAGCCGGTTCAGTACCGCACTAAGATAAATACTCACTGGTTAGCATGATGCGATTCAGAAGTACCGACTGAGCAGAACAGCAAGCAACAGTCGATCAACTGTTTTCAATGAACTGTTATGAATGAGCCTAGACATCGAAAGTCTGGAGCTAATAAGTTAGCATGGACATTAAGAAGAATGTAAATAATGCGGGGTTTTGCCGCAAATTTCCATCTAAAACTGACGCTTCTCACCTTCTCTGTCTGACATGCTGTCGAAAAATATCCAGCGAGAATCGGCGTCGGTGCCTATGCGTACGAACGACACGTAGTGTGACGATTCAATGCACAGCACACTGGCCAGTTCCAAGCATACCCTGGAGTTGGAGTAGTTACAACCGGGGCTCGGTTTGTATGGAACAAGCTCATCGCATGCGTGATCTGACTCTTTCAGTTGTGCATGCACCTATGAAGAATAAAAAACACATGAAGGTAGATAAAACGCATTCATGGCTACCTTTTCAAAACAACTGCCGCAGAAATACGCCATATCTAAACTGTCTGCCGTCGTTAAGTAGCACTCTTCACACATCATGGTGGCATAATTGTGGCAATAGAAGCAAAATAATGGATCTGAAAATGCTCAAAATTGATTCGACACTTCAACAACCAGCAAACAAAACATCTTTAAATGCACCATTGATGGATCTCGGTATTTTGGGAGAGCGGATGGGGGGGGGAGGGTAATGAACAAGTTTCCAACGCAGTCGAAAAGAACAATATCTTGTCACTTCAAAGAATTCACACGGCCGTCTTCTTTTTCTAGATGTCTAGGGGGCCTTTTCAGCACTTCAGGACTCGATTTTAAGCACTTGCAATACGTGGAAACAATTACCCCGTCGCAATGCTGGGAAAAGAAAAACACGCGTTCGAACATCAAATGAGTTTGGAAGAGCAATCCCGCTGGAGCACTAGCTGAAAATGCAATAATATGCTACTGACAGGCGCAACTAAGCCCAATATTCTGGAGCGATTGCCAAAAACAGCAGTTTCAGGGCCAATGATAAGAACAATATCTTGTCACTTCACCGGATTCAGTAGCCTGCTAGAAAATCCCCTAGGCATCTTGAAGCAATGGGACAATGCGATGACGCTGTGTGCTGAAAACGCCTGCGGTGTTTTTTTAACTGGTTTTCGAGTCTGACACCGTTCATGTTCGAACGCATATTTATTTTACAACACAACTGAGAAGCGATATAGCGTTTACGTGGTCTTCAAAATCGAACCTATAATCTGAGTCACAAGGATCAGGCAACGTCCAAAGTCACGGATTGCTTGACTACAGCGAAATACGATGGAGTGCATTTCCCCCAGATGTTACTGCTGCCGCGAAGGTCTGTCATTGACCTTGACATAGACGAAAAACGAGGCCTTGGCAAAACAGTATAGCTCAATTCACCCACTCAGCGAATTTATCTCCGATTACGAAACCGTATAGAATTTGTCAGCTGGATCAGATTTTATTGGCAACGGGCCCGAAAATCTCACTGGCCATGAGCTTGGATATGGCAAAACTGCAGAGCAGAGAAAAATACTTTTCAGTGACATATATCGAACACAGCGTGACACGTGAATATTTAAAAACACGTGGAAAAACTACGTCGTATAGATACTTGCAATGCAAGAAACGCACTGGCTTGGATTTAGCGTAATGATCGCTGGAAACTATAGCTTCTATTACACAGGGAATACAGTGGAATGAGCTGCTCACAGAGGTAG